CCACCTTTCAAGAAGTGATTAAGTTCACCTATCTCGCCCCCGAATCGCTCCAGGTCTGCGATTGCTCTCCGTAGATCCTGCGTGGTCGCTGCCCTTATCTTCATCCACTCCAATGCATTGGCGTGCGCCTCTGCCAATGTGTCCCTAGGTAAGGGAGGGATCTCTTGTATCTGCGGTACTTGAGGTATCTGAGGTATCTGCGGAATCTGCGGAACCTGAGGGGCGATCTGAGGAATCTGCGCTATCGGCATTTCCTGAGGTTGCGGCATTTCAGGTGCGTTCAACACTCCTGGTCGAATTATGCCCTCTGTCGGCATCTCGTCTTTTCCTTATGACTAGGAGAAGAGAGAAAAAAAAATTAAAAGAAAGAAAGAAAAAAAAATTTTTACTTCCGTGTTCTCCTGACGTTCTCCCGGGTTTCGGCACCAGTTAAGCGTCTCCGGGCTTTGTAAATAAAAAAAAAGAAGGAAAGAGGAACGAGAAACAATACTCACGGCTTCTGAATACAAACTGTTTTATTCGTTCAATAATCTGCCTTATATACAATTGCTATGTTTATTTACATTACAAGATGGTATTAAGGCTGATATCGCCAGTCTCCGGTCTTTATCTTATATATATATATATATATATATATAATATAATAGAAAAATAATTTTATTCTGGGACGAAGTCCCTTCAGAATAACAAAAAAGTACAGAAATTAAAATTTTACATCTGGCCAGATAAAAACAAACAACAAATTAAGATAAAGATAGGTTATTAAAAAAAAAGAAAAGAAAAAAATATTGGTTATACATAATATATACAAAATAAAAAAATCTATATAAAAAACTCTTGAAACCATACTAAGATACTTAACACTATGTACAATGATAAAATATAAATAAACCCTTTAAGAAAAAATAAAAAATACAGAAAAAATAAATATATATTCTTCTTAACAGTAAAATCTGTTTCTGTTGAAAAAAAAAGAAAAAAAGAAAGTCGAATCTTATTATAGATATTTGGGTTATGAGCTATATGTGAATATGGTTATATATATATATATATATATATATATATATATATATATATATTTTTTTTTTTTTTTTCTCTTTTTTGATTTTCCTTCATGCTCCATGCCTTAAAGACATACTACATGAATTACATTTGTTTACAATTGTTTTTTTTTTTCTAGTTTCACATGATTTACATTTTTAGTTCAAATTTATATACATTAACAAAAAAAAACACAAAGAATAAACACACAAAAATTAAATCGGAAAATTAAATATTAAACACACAAAGTCAATCCAACAAAGCCAAAAAGAAATCACCCACGCTGCCCATCCCTGGTTAGTAAGTCGAAGTCGATCGATCTAATAAATCTAAGAAAGTCTGTCTTGAGTTCAGTAAATAACTTTTGTTCCGTCTCAGGCCAATTTCCTCTTTTGATAATTATGCTTTTTATTAACTCAAATCGCTGTCTGTCAAATCGTATCGAATTGTAAGGAGGAATATATATATATATATATCCGCCATGCACCATCCTTATCCACATTTAATACCCTCCTTTTCCAATTCCTCCTTACAATTCAATCAGACGCTATACAATAATACAATAATAGGCTACCCAGCGTCTGATTGAATTGTAAGGAGGAATTGGAAAAGGAGGGTATTAAATGTGGATAAGGATGGTGCATGGCGGATTTTAAGTGGGATGGAATTCCAAAATGTGGTGGATCAGACAATAAAGGAGTGTTGAAATGAGGCCGATTTGTAGAAAGGCGTATAAAGTTCGGAAGGACGAGATCTTGTGGAGAGGGAGTGGATAGATGACTTGAATTGAAGGAGATTGAATGCGTAGGACGGACGATGATTATAGATTATTTGGTAAAGGAATGTACCTAGGAAGTACTGTCTTCTGAAGGAGGGAAAGAGCCACCCTGACTCGGCGTAGTAGTGGGAAACATGAGAACGTCTCGGGGTCCCATTGACAAATCGTACTAAGCCATTCATTATTCTTTTCAGTCTGACTCCAAGTTCCGATGAGAAGACACCGTACACTACGCAGCCGTAAATTAATTAATTACTATTAATTAATTTGTAATTACTATTCAAATATTTTCCCCACCCATATTCTTCCTAATAGTGCTATTATATCTATATGCTGTAGCTTTGAGATACCTCAGCTTCTTTTTAGACAATACATTTTTCAAATTAATAGTTTTGGGGCTTATTGATATTTTCCTGTCTAGATTTCGGCACTAAATAGGACTCTTCATAATAAAAATTAATAATATTTTATTTTTTTTTTTAGTTTGAAATGAAATAATTTTATTCCCAATGGAACACCCACGCCAAGTAATTTAAGGCGATGGTTCCACGCTGTTGGTTTGATTCTCTCTAGGGTCGGTTATTTTTTTTTTATAAATATTATTATGTCGTTTCCGGACTGTAGCACTTTATCGAGGCACTATGTAATGTGTCAGAGAAATCGATCGAAAAAAACTCTAACGTTTATTCTAACAAGACTATATTTATCACTACTGACTTTTTACAAATTTGTAATAGACACGCTATGTTTACGCAGCTGATGTCAGAATCCAATAAAACAAATAGAATTACTGAAGTTTACAGAAACCATATAGAATAAAATGTAAAAGAAAGCTTGAGTTTAAAAGAAATTACATAATGTAAAAGATCAAAAACTCATAAAGAGATATTTACTTTAAAAATTAAGATTATTATAGAAAAATTCCAAATAATTGAATCTCCGAGAATTAAATAAAAAAATGTTTTTCTATAGTTAACTTTTATGACATCAATCTTCCATTGCACAACTATAATGAAATTTATAAAGTAATGGTTTTAGGATTCTGAAATATTCTTCCGCTGTTTGGAACAAAATAAAAATTCTTACCTCAAGTCGTTGAAGACCTTTAAATTTATTTAAATAAAATAATTCCCCGAAAAAAAAGAAGGAAAAAATAGTTACGATTAATGCAGAATTTTATTTTTGAATGACTCAAAAAGTATACAATTTTAGTTTTATTATGTATCATACTTATTTCAACGTTAACTTCCCTAAAAACACAGTTAAAAAAATAATCGAAAACGGATGATTTGGTGCATAGATATTATGATGTAAAACCGATAATCTTTATAATGGTTTTAATTACACTAACAAATTACATCAACTGACAAAAAATAGATTAATGTATATATTTGGTGAGGAAAAAATATTTAAAAATATATTGTTAAGCAGGCCATTATTCACAGACACTTTTTATATAGCGTTTTTCCCGAAATGGTAACAGGTCCTGGAATCGATCTATAATTTTCCTTTTTAAAAAACTCCTCCTGCATTCTCTCTTCATGGAGGCGGAGGAAATCACATTCGCTTTTTGCTTCTAGAGGACTTTACGTTCGGAATTATTTCAACCTTTTTTTAAAAAAACAGGTTTATTGAGTAATCTGGAGGCTACAAAGAAAATGAATAATCATAAATCAATAAATAATGTTTCAGGTATAACAATGAATATAAAAAACAGCTCTGGGATATTGGAATAGAGTATTATCAGCTAATTTAAGCAGGATTACCTTAAACAAATTAATTATAACACAGATTAAACAAAAATAAAATATGAACAAATTATGATAAAAAAAATACATTAATAATATACATACAATATGATATACATTACATAAAAAACACAACGGAAAAAAAGTTAGGTATTAATGAAATAAATATAATGAAATTAGGTAACATAATAAATGAAAAATTTTAACTATCGGTTGTATCATCGCTACTAATGATCCGATTTCAATGTTTTTAGGTAGTCCAGAGACATTTTAAATCATAAATACTACGAATAAATTGTAAGAAATCAAAAAAGATACCAAACCGTGGACGACCTCTTTCACAAAGAACAGGAAAGAAGTAACAATTTTAACTCGGCTTAGAATTGGACATGCAGCCTTTACCCACGGCTACCTAATGAGAGGCCTGGAACCACCATTTTGTAAAACATGCAACACATCACTTACACTGAAACACATTGTAACAACTTGCAGACTATACTCTGACACCAGAACAAAACATAATATACCTTCCAACATATTTGAAGCACTTTCAGATGACGAAGAAAAGATACAAAAAGTGTTTGAATTTATAAAAGACATTAAATTTGTACATCTAATTTGATTACATCTAAAGCCGCTAATGACCCGATCGGGTAGATGCGGAATGTAAAAATAAATAAAATAAATCATAAATGTAATCCATCATAAATTCCATAATTTATGAGTTGTGCGCAAACGGATTTTGCGAATGACTACAAGAAATCGGTGAACCCACATCTGTAACCACTTGATAATTTTTTTTTATTTTTTTATTATTTCTTAATAATATTTACAACTGTATAAAGGAAATACATCTAGAAAAATTTGAACATATGGATATAATGATGTGAAAGCACTTGCTGAGTAACTACACAATGGTAGCACTCTAATGATGTATCTACATTAGGAGATCACGGGGTGATTAGTATCTTCTTTTCAGACGCCTCGGAGGGTTATCAGGAATTAAAGAGGAAGCAAGGTTAGAAACGAGAGGATTGGGATGATTCTGAAGTTTATTATGGAAGGATAGGTACCTGGATTGGGCCAGATCTGAAACATATGAAACATTAAGGTCATTATGGATGGTTTTGTAAATGGTTGTAACAATTTAAACAGATTTTTCTGTAAATAGATAGAATTATTTCAATAACAGAAAAAAGTTTACTGGTGGATATTCCTTTATCTGGTACTTCAATGCAGCAGATTGGAGTGGTATTTTTATCAGAAAAGCATTTATTTTTCTAATCTTTTATCATTGAAACAAGCCAGGATAGAGGTTCTACTGAGACTGACTTTCCTCATGCCTGACATATCATTATTTAATTTATTTTTAGCACATTTGCTGATTGTCAATATAAAGCTGACAGGTGCAAATAAATGTTTAAAGACAAAAAAAAATCAATAAAAATAAGACACTCAAGATAACTAACAAACGGGTATATAAACTGAAACAGTTTGGTGTAAGGCATACTATCATGCAACTGCACATCTTATGTAAGTATTTATGCTGATATTTCTGTGGTGCTAGAGCAGCAGATGTTGATATGCCATTTTTTATTCTGTATTAATTATTGCATATGTATACGTAGTATATTATTAACAAATCAAGTTCTACCCTAACATAAAATATTTATTCATTTTCATAATCTAAATTAGCGTAAGCACAATGATTTTCAGAAGTTAAAAAATAGTAGCAGCTCTACTACCTCCGTTCTAATTAATAACTGTGTCATAATATATCATCATGTGATATAAATAGGTTATAAAAATTAGGAAGTTACACTAGGTTATTCTGAGTTAGGTGTACTGAATGTTTGTACCACTTTTAACATTAATCATATATAAAAATAATTTTAATATTATATAATAGAACATTTGTAAGGCCGAGCTATAAAACATGTAAGTGTAATCAATAATCCATGTGAAGTTGTATTGATATTGTTAAAATAAATATGTTTATCTAGTTTATTTGCGTTACTTATTTAAATTATTATAAATAATAGGTAATAGATACATTAAACGTGTTTTAATTGTAAAAATCTATCAACAATATAGAAAATTTATGTTTAACAATTGAGGCTTTAGGATATTAGCAAAATTATTCAATTTCACTTCCAAATATTTTAATTTTATTTATTAAAGTGTAAACGTATGTAGGCACGTTTTGCACTTTTTAGTGGGTAGTAAATGAGACTAAGTCGTCAGGCTCGGATATGTAACGCTTCTTCGGTTAAAGTCGGCTGAAGGCGATTAACTGAAGTGTTTTTGCATCTGGATTAAAATATCTCTAAAACTAAAAATTGGATCTGCATACTGTAAGCAATGAAAATGTCCAACATTTCATCCTCTTTATAATAATAACAAAACTTTATTTATTCTTGGACAAGTCTCTTTAGTATAATACAGGGCAGAAATGTAGGCAGGAGCCTCAGAGATACATAAACAAAAATACATAGTAATTAAATAGTCATAATAAAAAAAAAATATAACTTACTTTCTAACTTAAATCAGTTAATTTGGCTAAAGTGCTCTCGACCAATCTCCGCTGGCTTTAGTACCAGTGACGCGGTTGGGAGAGTAGCGCAGGGTTCTCCTGGAGTTCCCTCGCCTGATTGTATATAGGTATGCATGTGTTTTTTTTTTTCTTAGTTTTAATTTTATTGTTTTTTAGGTTATTTTATTTTATTATCTATTGTATATACTTTTGATTATTATTTTGTTCTATTATTTTATTTTTTTGTACATATAGTGTGAATGTCATCCTACCTCACTATAACCAATGTCCAAGAGACAGATTGTTATAATACTCAATAAAGAAATTTAAAAATCAGTTAATAATAAAAAAATGAAAATAAATTAAAAATAATATAGAACAATCTAATAATTTATATAGATATTACAGTGGTATCTATTTACAATTTTTGGGGACTGGATGAATAAGAAATGATTGAACAGGCGGGATTTAAAGGTAGGAAGTGTTTGGATTAACGCATATGGGAAGGAATGGAGTTCCGTAGGAATGAGGATCGGATAATGAACGATCTCTCGAAAGCAGCGGTTCGGTGGGCCCTTGTGTATAAATCAGAAGACCGAGAACGGGTATTGAGGGAACGAATAGAGGATTTGAATTGAAGGAGTTCGGAGATGTATGAAGGACGGCGGGATTGGATGACTTGAAAGAAAAAGGATGCCAGGAAATGCTTACGACGGTAGGAAGGAATAATGGGCTATGATTCAAAATTATGCCGTGTTAGAGAGATAATAATGGAAAAATACGTTGTCGATAAACAACGAGTTTTGTTGAACAATTGAATTACAATATCTCATAAACTAAAATTCAAACCTACATAACGTAAGCAAGGAAAATTTTAAGAATTTCATTATCTTTGTAATGAGTAATAAATCAAAAGTATTTCAACGTAGCGCCGTGTTAGAGAGGCGAACAGAGAAAAAATAATGTCGAATACCAAATTATAACAGGTTTAATGGAAGAAATATATTAAAATATCTCAAAAAGTAAAAAATCGGACCTACATACTGTAAGCAAGGGAAATTTTCATCATTTCATACTCGTTATAATGACCAATTATTTATAATTCATAATATTAATCTAGCCTTGATTGATGTTTTAACTTCTATCGTGTAGTCTAAAATACATACCTGTTGTGTTTATGTTACTTTGTAACACTTTATATGTATATATATATATATATATATATATATATATATCTTCTATCGCTTTTACTAATGTAGTCTGAAAAATGTAAAACAAATTCAATAAAGAAGTGTTACAAACTAACATAAAAACAACAGGTGTGTCCTTTTCTGAATATATATATATTTCAAGTTTTATCAAACTGTATTAAGATTATTCCACATCGCAGGGCAAAGATTAGTGTTCCAGGTTTCCACTCACAGAACGAAAAGTAATAACAAGTGATAAATATCAGGAATAAATATATTTAAAAATAAATTGTAAACATATTCATAGTTAAGTACAACTGAATAATTAAAAGTATTTAAATACGTTATTTTAGCAATTAAGTATCGAAGAATTAATCAGATTTTTAAGATGTGGCAAGTACTTTCGTCTCCTCAATATTTTAAGTTGTTAAAATTTAAATGTTACTTTTCATGATAATAGAACTTTAAAATTATCTAAAAAATAAAATAATTGATGAATCCTAAAGCGCATTGTCAATCATATATTGTATGTCGAGTTTTTAAATTATTTTTGGACGAATTACTTTAAAATTATACTACCTATAGGCAGATGGCATTAGATTGAATCAAACAATGTATCGAATTTCTGCGTCAGAAAATACATTAAGAAAACAACATGCAATAAAAAATAATTATTTATTACAATATCTCTTAGAAAATGATTTGTTTTAATATTTTTACAGCAATAGCAGCCCTGGCCATACTGTGGCCAGCGATTGCTCTCGCCTTTCCGTCAGAAGATTTAGACGTCCTGAGACAGGAAAAAAATCTACAGGCTATCTCAGAAGAAACAGAATTTCTAAGTTCTGAAGAAGAAGATGAAGAACAGGAGGTTCCTGGCCTAGATGACGACGAAGAGTCAGAAGAGGGTGATTTTCGTCCACGTTCTCATCCTCTTCTTCAGCCTGAAGAATCCGAACCTAAACCGAAACCACATCCCCATCCGAGACCTCATCCAAAACCAACCGACAAACCTGAACCTAGACCCCACCCACATCCTCACCCAAAGCCCCATCCACACCCACACCCACGTCCTCACCCTCACCCAAAACCAACTGAAAAACCAGAACCTGAACCATCGACCGACCAATCTGAACTAAAACCTCATCCACATCCCCACACTGGTAACAACTTTTGGTTTTGTAAGCAAGCATCCACAGAAAATTGAATATTTTTTTTTTTATATATGCACAAATAAAATTTTTTGTTTATAATATGTTTATAAATTTATTATCCCTCCTTCCTTTCATTCCTTTTCTCTGTTGTTAACTCTTTATTATATTATACATTGTCTGTACATCTTGATAGACTTCACAATATCTCAATTTTCTATCTAACTACTCCATTCTCAATGTTTTTAATTTTACTATTTATTTTATTTTCATTTCTTATATAACTTTATATTTCTTTTTTATGTTTTTACATTTTATTCTAAGATTCCCAATGTAACACTTTTGTCACCCCCTTTTTGATTACGCCTACTTCATCATTCCACACTATGTAACAGTCTTTATTATTTATCTCTTAGTTCTTAGTCATTATTCTAACAATTTCCTTTTACTTTATATCTATCTATTTTATTTTTCTAATATTTTATTTAGATCTATTTTATCTAGATCTAATCTATTTTATTTTCTCATTTTTTATTATCTTTTTTACCATCATTACTTATGTTTCTCATACCTTGTTATCTGGTTATTTTCTTAGCCCTGATGAAGGCCTGAACTTCAGGTCGAAACGTCGGCATATGTAAAAAATAAATATTATAATTTATTTTTTGCCTTCCTTTTTTGACTGAGCACCCCAACTATTCTTCTCTTCATTATCCACGACAGTCAACCAATTACCAATTAAAAATTTATTGTTCTTCTTAAATTTTTTCCTTGAGATTTTGTGAGAATGTGATTATTTTTCTCAAAAATGATGGCTGAATCATTAGATTCGATATAAAATAAACGAAAAAAAAATCTTTAAGAAATGTGAATCAGTTATTTAATTTGTATAATTTTAAGAATAAATGATATGAAGAACACTTATCGCTAGAATAAGGTCGGTCCATGCCGTTATCTCAAAAACGCAGGGTCTTAAATAGTTTTATAGCAGAGTTGGGCGTTAGTCGAATAAAAATATATTAGAATAAAAAACGAATAATTTTTTTTTTGTTTATAAAAATTTGCGCCTGTCAACTTGTTGTTGACAATCAGCAAATGTGATGGCGATACATGATATAATGCTATGACAGGCATGGGGAAGGAAAGTACTCAGCAGTACCTCTTCCCTAACTTGTTCCAATTACTTAGGTTGTTTAAGGAAGGAAATCTCTCATCCAATGCCTTTTTAGTCTCCTTCTCATGTTCTGAGGTATGTCTGCAGTGGTTATTTGTTTTTTTTTAGAGTTAAATCAGTGTAAAATCGTTGATGAAGAGTCGTTATATGTTTGTCAACTGTTGGAACGTGGGAGTCAGTATGTAGAGTTTTGTTATTCACGTACCAAGGAGCTTTTGTTACGAGTCGCAATAATTTTGATTGGGACGTTTGAAGTTTTTGTAAGTGGGGATCTTATTCAGGTTTTTTTTTTTAGCGATACCATATATTTCTGATGAGTATGTCCATATGGGCTCAAGTAAATATGTATATGTATTCAGTTTCTGTTTTAGTTTTAGTTTTGAAGGTTTAGAAAAAAAGAGCATAAAGTAGTTTGAGTCGTTTGTTAAGTGTTATAAGTTTGTTACGTTTCATTTTAACATGCGAACCCCATGTCATCCTTCTGTCGAAAGTGAGTCCAAGGTAAGAATAAATGTTGTATGTTTGGATTTGTCATGATTAAGTCGAATTCTCCATAGTGCGAACCAATGTAATTTAAGTAAGTGATGTCGTAGAGTTAGTAAGGCCTGTGTAGGACTTGCCCTGCAATATATCTTCGTTAAAGGATTTGACGAAGGGAAAATAGGTAAAGTAAAGTGAAAATATTTAATTAGGTTCGTTTATATAAGCGAATAAATTTTAATTCAGAATTTTTAATCACGAATAAACATATTTTAAAAATGATTGAAATTTTATCCGAATTAAAATCCAAATTAATTTTTAAGGAAAGAAATGGTCCGAGGTGGCGGTCACAAATAGACTAAATAGTGGCAAAACTATTTTATTAACAGCCAACGTTTCGATCCAACTTTGCAGGGCTAGAACGGACAAGATTCAAACACATACCTTCTAGCCCTGAAGAAGACCTGCAAGGTCGGTTCGAAACTACTAAGTATACAAATTAATTTTTAGTCGTTTATTTACGACTAAAATTTCAATAGGATGAAAATTCATTCGAATAATGATTTAGTCAGATAAATAAATATCGGAATGAAAACTGAATAATAACATTACATTTAAAGCTGTCATTAACCTTATATAATGATGGATTGTTTCGTAAGTTCAGTGAGGATTTGTAGTCCAAAACAAGTTGGTTATATCGTCTAGTCAGTACTTTGTTAGTGTTGCCCAAATGCGAGACCGGGACGAGTCATGGTCTTGCAATCTCAGTCTTGGTGTTGCGCAAGACTCTCGCAACAGTCTTGCAGTTACTTGTTAGCTTATTACTATAGAGTTATTACTGTATTTTTTTAAGCAGGAGAAACCTCACTAAGGCAGAATGAAAAATTAGAGGAGTTAAATGCAAAAGTATATTGGTTATACCAATTATTAACATATAATAACTAAGATTATCAAGTTTTAGTAACTATTTTGCCTTAAATTTTATTTAAAAGTCGATGTTTTTTTTACCAATCCTGGTCTTGGTCTTGCAACAATTAGGTGGTCTAGGTCTTGGCCTTGCAAAGTGCAAAACCAAGACCGATTTTGGGCAACACTAGTTTTCATATGTATGTTCCGGGTAAGTCTTATACTTCTATAAAGTAGAGTTTGAGGTACTGTACATAGTTCGTTGAAGGCATGAGGATTTCCTAAGAGAATAACTTCCGTGGGTAGACTTGCTGCCAATTATTATAATTTTCCATTTTTCAGACCACTTTTCACGATCATAGAGGTGGTTTGAAGGGAAGATGATGGTATACGGGATAGTAAATAGTGTAATATTTTTAGTTTCATATTAAATGGCTGCAACAGGTAGTGTTATATATTTTTATCAAAAGACTATGAATCCATATACCATATACTATGAATTCATACCTAAATACCAGAAGGGACTCGCGACATAGCCCTCAGACGATATTGTTTCAGTTTTGGGATAAAGGGAGAGTCTGATCTGCTGGAAACACAGCTTGACACTCGAGGGACAGGATGCCAACTTCAGCCGTCAAAGGACTCAAAGGATAGCGGCATTGTCCGCGCCGAGGATTGTATTACAGAAACGCCCTTTATTTCCAGCTGAAATATCCTCTCAAGTAATCCATCCCGCTCAAAGGAGAATAGTGGTCAGTGGGATGGTGACATTTAGGCAGTTACAAAGCCTACTCTTTTCTCTTAATCCATATTTGAGGGAGCGTTCCAGCAGGAAGAGAAGGCGAACACAAAGAGAAAGCATTTAATCCCGACAGTTAATAATTATTCCTCTAGGCTCTCTTGTATTACTTTTCATTTATATATATATATATATATATATATATATATATATATATATATATATATATATATATATATATATATATATAGAAATAGAAATAGAAAAATCATCTTTATTCTGGGACTAGGTCCCTTTAGAATAACAGTATTGTTCATATATATTAACCATAAATCTTGTCAAAAGACTTATTACAATGAATAATAACAAAATACATGTAATACATTAAGTATTAATTAAGCTCTTAGGATAAATTAACGAGGACAGTTGGGTAATAGGGGTTCAGTACTACAAAATTGGAGCTAAAATAATTGCATAATAATCACTGAATGAAATTAGAAAGGAAAGCAAAATCTATTTTATAGGTAAAGCATTGTAGTGATGGAATATAAAAAAAAAATAATAATAACTATTAATATGTAGGGAAAGAAATTGTAAAAACTAAAACAAAAAAAAATATAAAAAACAAATAATGATATACATATGTTCCCTAAGATATTTAAGTGATTATGCGTAAAGATTAGGAGAAGAGAAAATAAAATAAAGTATACATATACACATGGCGAGAAGTATGTTGAAGATAATTAGAAATAAAATAAATTTCACTGAAATACATTTCATGAATGACAAATTAGAGCTTAAAAAAAACAAATTTTATCTACTCACAATGCTTAGTGAGTGGTGATGAAAATTGACGTTCAACACAGAATAAAACAATAAAAAATAAGAGAAGAAAATAATGTCTATAGAAAATTAAATCCTTATAACACAGTATTGTATTTATCCAGCGACTGATTGGATTGTGAAGAGGAATTGGAATAAGAGGGTTTTAAAGGTGGATAACGATGATGCATGGCGGATTTTTAGTGGGATGGAATTCCAGAATGCAGTGGAACGGACAACGAAAGAATATTTAAATGATACAGATCTGTAGAAAGGAGTGTAAAGGTCAGAAGGACGAGATCTTGTGGAGAGGGTGTGGATAGATGATTTGAATTGTAGGAGATTGTATGCGTAGGACGGACGATGACTCTATATATATATATATATATATATATATATATATATATATATATATATATATATATATACAGATGTATGTATAGGGATGTTGTTCTAGTATGGATATCTATCGATATTGATATTTTCCTTTCAATATCGCTCATAATCGTATTGAAAAAAAAAAAAAAAAAAAAGGATTCGAAATTATCGTGATATCAAAGGAAAAAAGCCAATGTCGGAATTAAATTTTCTCTTTGTTTGCTATTTGTTGAATAGGAATACTTTTCGGACCGTCACTCAAGATCCGGAAGGGTTTGAGGTCGAAGAAGTACGAGTAGAAGAATCTGGACATCCGAACGGAAGCATCAGCACAGAGTCCTTGCGAAGGAGTACTGAAAGAAAGAAACTTCGCCACATCAAAAAATCAAATTTCAGTGAAGATAAGGATTGCTGAATTGTCCCAAAATATTAGAGATAATAAATGTGATTAAAGGGATTTAAAGAAAATTGGAAGTATTATTGCCTATGAATTTTTTTTTTTTTATTGTTATT